GCTAACCAAAACCACAAAAAGAGCAAAGGATCCACATCTGATAGAACATTTTGCTCAGTGAGAGGAAGCTCACGTGTAAAGTCTTTTCTCCCTGACCCCTCCTGTGAGGAACACACGTGCTTCTCCCACATTTCTTGTTTGCAGTGAGGGCTTTGTTAAAAAGGGTGAGGAGCAAAGAAAAACAGGAAAGTTGGGGTTTTTTTCCCCTCCTGTCTTTCCACTCCTTTTTAAACACAGGCTGGGGAAAGATTAAAAGCAATGAGAAAGCATGCAGAACCTCACATCTTTTCATGATGCAGCTCTTCTACTGCAAATAATTAACACCAGCCAAAGTCAGATCACAGCAGGTAACAGTGAACTTGGAACAAATGTGCAGGGAAAATGAATGATTGTCTCTGTAATGAGGGAGAAGGAGGACAGAAGAACGCTTTGCCATTGTGACAAATTAATCAGACTGATTCTTCTCCAGCCTCTGCACGTCTTGCAGGCTGAAGTTTTATGATCTCCGTCTGCCAAGAATCCTCAGGATGGGAAAACACGTCATGAAACTCAGCAGAGCAAGGCACCGAGGCAGAGGGTTCAGTCAGGTCTGGATGGGGCTGTGCTTCCTCCCAGGGAGCTGCTCCAACAGCCCCAAAGCCTCAGTGACCCAACAGTCAGAAACAAACAGGAGCCCCTCAGGGTGGAGCACGCACAGGGAGAGTGTTTAAAGGGACTCTGCCCAGAGAGCATCCCCCCATGCTGCAGACTGCTCAAAACGGGGTGCAGCAGTGGAGAACTAGAGCCCTATTTACCCTCATCCTTGGCCTCCTGCAGGGTCTGTAGCTGTATCCCTTGCCAGGCTTCTGCTGTCACAAAAATGCTGCATCCATTCCAAGTGTCTCCCCACAGTTCTTACTCCAGGTGGTCTCAGATGACAAGAGGCAGGTGCTGCACAGCTCAGGACAGAGCAGGTCTGGACCACTTCATGATAACACTCAAGCAGGGAAGACACAAGCTGGCCACTGCAGTGCCTCTCCACACTTGGCTACTGCAACCAGATGAGTAAATCTCAGGAAAGATCATTACTCTTCACTAGCTGGTCTGGAAATACCTCAAACTTCACCATAAATATTTGAGGACGTGACAAGTAGCATTTTTCACACTCGAAGACACAGCCTCTGAGTATTGCAATGCATCATTCACAGAGTGTTGCCCTCTCTGGCCAGGACTCCTGCTGTCTCACCACCCCCACCGCTCCCCACCGCTGCGTGAAACGGTGCCAAAAACCACTTAGCTTTGAAATAAGTGAAATCATCTTCCTCACAGCATCCCATGATAACGTTTATCCTCTTTGCATTGTGTAATCCGAAGCATCAAAACAGTCACAAATGTATTGTAGAGAATCATCCAGCTCATTACCAGGCAAAATTAATACCCAACTCAACGCCCAAGCAGTAGGAAACTCCATAATCCCATCAGCCCATGGTAAAAAAAAAAGCTGCTAGCTGGGCTGAGAGGAGGCTGTGGGCTGGGAGGGGAACACCAGTAGGATGAGAAAAACAGCACTGGAAGTCACTGCCAAGGGAAGGAACACCAGGAAGCGATGGGGTACATGGAGGTGGGTGCCCATCTCTTGGTGGCAACAGCTGCCAGAGCAGGATGGCAGAGGGCTGCACCTTGCTAGCCAGAAAACTATACAAAGTCAAAAAAAAATCAAAAAGAATGAGCATTGGTCAGGACTTTTTAATCAGTGCAGGGTAATTTTTCCTTCCCCACTGTCAACTGCAGAATCACGTGCAGAGTTGGATAAAAAAAACCCCACCATCATCATTATAGGGCATTTTCTGATGAGAACTGAAGGCAAATCTCATGACATCCCAAGCAGCAATCAACTCTGTATTTCGGGAAAACTGAAAGGCATCTGGGGTCAACCCTTCTTGGCATGACTTGGAGCCAGAACATTTCCAGGGTGCCACCAGAGGCAGCTAATCTCTTTGGCTGTGGAAAGGTCGTACTCCCTGTGATGGATGCCTTTATTGCTACCTGAGTCACAAAGAGTTTACAAATAATCTAATCAGTCAGAATAACCACCTGCAGTGGTTAAATGCAGTCAGTGCAAAAAGAGGTTTCAAGACAAATATCTTACGGATACAAATTCTAAACATTTTCCCTGTTGTGGTTGTTCCACTGTGCACTGGAAACCTCACCAAATGCTACCCCAATTTCTTGGAACAAAGGCACTCCAGCTTTCTGGAACAAGGTTAAAACAGAGAAATAAAGTCTTATCTTCCACCACCTATGGTACTCAGCAGAAGCTCCTCCAGAGCTGTGTTTTTCTGCTTTATTGGTTTCTGCAGGGCTGTTGGGTTTTATCAGCTCGCAGAGGGATGAAGCCTCAGAGAGGGGAAAAAAAAAATCTGGATATTCAGTGGCAAAAGCAGAGCTGAGCTGTGCTGGCAGCGTGACCCCAACACTTGCATCGGGGTGGGAAAGGAGCAGAAGGCAGAATGCACCTTTTGAGGAGGGTATTTAAATATTAACCGATTGCTGAGCACTGGCAGTGCTTTGATCAGCAGGCAGAGCCTCAATTAATCTGAATTATGGAGTCAACATGCTTTTAATTACATCTTTAGCCAGGTAGTCAGAGTTTTTTGTCCTATCAACTACGGCTCAAGATTGTGAGTTATTTCCATACCAAGTTTTTAACAACTCACAGATTTATACATCTCCCTGTCACTTCCCTGTCTTCGCTTTTATTATAGTTCCAGAAGAATCAGCAGAGGGGAAAGGTTGTTCACTCTATTCTAAAACAGGTATCATCTCTTCTGTGGCATTTGCAATGCAAACGCCTCCATATTTTGCTAGCAGATGAGACTCAGGATCCTGGCCGGGTCAATCTACCCACACTGCTCAAACAGATAAACCCAGGAGCTAAGCCCACTCCTATTAGGGATTTGCCCAGTGTTGACATGGGTTCACAAATAACTACACAAAGGCAGAAAATTCCAGTATGAGTTATGGCAAAACTAAGTATAATCCAGTGTCAGTAGGAAGCTCAGTACCTTGCTGTCATTTCAGATTATTTATGTTGCATGATCTTTGATAAAGTCTGCATGCCCACTTCAGAAATTCATTACTTCCTTATTGCCCACTGAGGAACACAAACACATGAGAGGAAGTAGCTCAAAACCAACAGCAAAGAAAAACAATCAAGTAAAAGGGTCTTTTTTTGGCTTTCCAAGGTACAGACAGTGGCATGCTGAAGCTTAAACCTCTAGGGCTGCTAAAGAATATGTGTTTGGAAGTAAAATACAGCCTGGCTATCATTGCTCAATAGCTGAAAGCCCACCAGCAGCCTGCTGAGCAGGGTGGTCAATACCTGTGCTATGGTGTTTACTCTCTTCAGCCTCTCCCCAGGATTTATTCCAGCCAAAGAAGTCAGATCCCTGTGCAAAATAGAATCTAAAGGCTTCCTTCTGTGAAGAGGATATTATCATCCTTACCACTAACCAAAGAAATCTGATGCACAAAGCTGCATTTTTAACAGAAGTTACACATTTATATAATATTCATATTTTGCCCCAAGCAACGAGAGGCTTTCAGGAGAGCTAGACAAAGTTCTGCATCTTTTGGTCACCAAAGGCATTCGAATCCAGCACAGAGCCTGCAGGCTCCTGAGTTGTGTTTTAAATTCCAAGTATCATTTCAGCCAATGTGGAACGAGGCAGATGAAGCCCCTAACAAGCCACACTCAGCCCTGGCTCTGGTGCTCCCTTTAAATCACACGCCAGACAAGCATGGTCATGAGGCTCTCCTTTACAAAGCCTCCAACACAACAGGCTGTCCAAGGAGTGGCTTCAGTTGGTTATTGATCATGCCCATTCTTCCTGGACTGAAGGAACAGCAAATCCCATAACATCACCCTTCCCACAACCCTCTCTTGTAGCAGCACATCTCCCTGTCCTGAAACCAAACTGCACTGTTGCCTCCCTGCTCCTGCCCCCAGCATGTGCTTTGAAGACAAGAATCTTTACTAAACTAATACAATTGAGCATGAATCTGGTCTTTGTAAAACATTTTCCTTTCTCTAGTAACTTCAAAAGAAAGAGCAAAGGTGCAGCACTGAAGGGCTTTTACCAATCAGCAGCATTAACTCTTTTCTCTCTTCCCTTGCTGCCAAAGAGCCAGAAATAAATGTAGGTCTTCATAGGTCTGTATAATCCAGATCGCCTGGATGGGCTAAGAAGAATCTTGTGCAAAACGAAGTGCCAAAGTCTAAGAGCTTGCAAACCATTCAGATGAGTCAGATGGTTAATTCTAGATCAAATTTCCAGACGCTGAGGAAATTCCAGGTAGGCTTCAAACTTGGCAGCTTGATACTGCAATGGCCCAAACCCAAAACTCCTGTGCAACAAACACCAAATCCTTGGCTGAGTCCCAGGGTTTGAACATCAAGAGACCAGCGTGTCCCCAAAATCCAGACGTTGGCTTAAATAGCCAGAGATAAAAAAAAAAAACAAACCCAAAACCAAAGGAAACGACCTCAAAACAAACCCTTGAGATATTTTAACTGCCTTTTGTTCAAGCTCCCTCTTTCTCCATGCTGCACAGTTACACCAAAGGTGTTATGAATGCTTGGGTGTCCAGCTCCAGCACTGAGGTATTTCTGCTGGCAGCAGGGGGTTCCTGATGGGTTTCGAAGACAATGCAGAAGGAACCATTGGCTGCACAGGCCCAAGTCAGTAAAATTACAGGGACTCACTTAACTCGTAGCTCCAGATTCAGAATAACCTCAATTAATAATTTTTCACCAGCCTATCCCCTATCCTATGCTTCTGTAGTATTATAGAAATACCCCACTGCAAGGAAGGAGCACGGCAGGAAATGTGTGAAGTGGGACAATGTATAGTGTGATGTCTCACCCCATCTCCCCTTTCCCAGCTACATCCTCTCACAGTGCTAAAACCAACACATCTTCACTTTCACACCCATGTGGAGACAAGTCATTAGTGTCTTACCCTGATAAGACGCCCAGCACCAAGTTGAGCATGAAGAAAGAGCCAATGATGATGAGAGGGATGAAGTAAAGCCAGTTCCAGGTATTTCCTGCAGCATCATTTGTCTGGAAACAAATTAAGAGGGAGAGAGAAAAATATTAGTTTGCCTCAGAAACAAAATATCGTAGAAAAACTGCAGGGCAGAGGAGAGGGGAGATTCCCCTCAGATTTCCACAGGGCTGTCCACCACTACGTGTTGGTTAGTTAGGTTGAAATGCCAGCAAAAGAACTGCTGAACCAAGCTCACGGTCCCACCACCCACACCATGATTTGTCATCAGCTCTGGTGAAAGGAGTCACTTAATTCCACAGCTCCAGGGCCAAACTGCACGTTTCAGTGACCTACCTCTGTGATGGTTTCTACACCAACCTCCTCCCTCCCCACCTGAGCTCTGACCTCCCATGTGCTGAGCATCAGTGTCGTATTTACATCCCAACTGAGACACAGAGCACCACGAGGGAACCACAGCCTTCCTTCCATTAATCCCTGCTGCAACTGAGGCAGAATGTGGCCCCCTGCCCAGGATCTGGGCACCCACACCAAGCAGAAGACAAGAAGTCTGCAAGAAAACAAGGCGTCTTCAGAGGGATTGCAACTCCCCCTCTGCTTGCTCAGCGCTTTGGGCTTCTGGCACCAAAACCTGGCTGAGGCTCCCTGAGTAAGCAGCAGTCTAGATTAAAGGGAGGGAAGGGTGGTTTAGTTTGTGACAAAGTTTCTGCATTCATCAGCCACAAGGGAGCTCTTCAGGGAACTGCTGAAAAGTAAAATGCCACACGGCCACGTGCGGAAGCCAAGTGACAAGAAAAATGCAAATTCCTCTCTTGTGAGTGAAGGATGCAGCAATCTGAGGATCTGGTGGCAGGTGAAAGCAAGGGGGGAAAGGAAGTGAAAAGAAAAGACCCAAAGACCTTCTCCTCTCCTCCTGCAAAGGGTAAGGAACAACAAGAACACAGAGCTCACCTACCTGCCCAGCTGCAGATGCTGGCAGAGACCACAGAGAAGCTCTGTCAAACAACAGCTCACAAAAAAATACATTAACTCTACCTGCTACTGGTGCCTTTTAGTTATTACCTGTGGTGCTTTTTGGTCACTATTCCAAATCCTACCTGCAGCTGTAATTTTGCTTGCAGAAGGATTCACAGAAAGAAGTGCTTTGAATGTGCTTTTTTTTCAGCCATGCATGTACTTGATGCCACCTCAAAATGTCTCTGCATAAGTAGAAGTCACCCAATAAACAAGCAAAACTGTGTGGTGTGAGTGAGCAATGCCATAGCATTCCTTACAGGTAATAACATTTATAGAACCATGGGCTGGTTTGGGTGGGAAGGGAATTTTAAAGGTCTTCTAGTCCAACCCCCCTGCAGGGACAGGGACATCTGCAACAAGAGCAGGTTGCTCAGAGCCCCAGCCAACCTGACCTGGGATGGTTCCAGGGATGGGGCATCACCCCATCTATAGCACTGATGCAACTAAATACTGAGACATTTTTAATATGGTTCATATCTGCACAAATTCTTCCTTAAGGAACATGCTCTGGATCAAGCACATGACAAGCAACTCTCCAAATAGCAAACATCTTCAGAAATATTTGTGTCAGTTGATCAGTGACTCACCCGAGAGGAACAGGGACTAACTAACCCCACCACAAACCACCCCTGCTAAAGGCAAAACCAGCATGTGATAGATAAACGAACCTGAAGAGAAAACAAGAGCAGAAAGACAGGGAGACTGTGCAGCCCTATCTTTCATTACAGTTTAACACCTTTTGTAATATTTGTCACCTCTTGACTCACTGTTTTGTCTTCCCATTCCTCTCCCTCTGCCTGTAGAATTATAGAGTCATTAAGGTTGGAAAAAACCTCCAAGATCAAGTCCAACCATCAACCCAACACTATTATGACCACTAAACTACACCCTGAAGTACCATAACCACATCCAAGTGTTTTTTGAACCCCTCCAGGGCTGGGGACTCCAGCACCTCCCTGGGCAGCCTGGGCCAATGCTGAACCACCCAGTCAGGAAAGAAATTCTTCCTAATATGCAATCTAAGCCTGCCCTGACACAAACCTGAGGCCATTTCCTCTTGTCCCATCACTGGTTACTTGGGAGAAGAAACCAACAGGCACCTCACTCCAACCTCCTTTCAGGGAGCTGTAGAGCACAATAAGCTCTCCCCTTTTAGTTATTTCCTTTTCTTGTTCTCCTGCACCATGTCTCTACAGATGGGTTTGGAGGAAACACTTGAACTCAGTGCTTCCTTCCCAGCACACAGGGAAAGTGCCTGGTACAGCCCCAGCCTGCTCTCCTGGGATCACCAGAGCAAAACCCAGATTTTCCTATTTCAAGGGTGTTCTTCAGCTCTCATTTTGTTGACCCAAGTGGCAGCTCTTGCATCTCTGGTTGGAGCAAACACATCCCCAACCAGCAAGGCTGGGGGCTGTGGAGCCAACCCAGCACAGGGAAGAGCTGGAGGAAGGGAACAGATGGGAGAAGGGAAACCACATAAACATGCAAGGGTAGTGCAGTGGCTTCATTGCTGCCAAATGATCGTTTATCATTTATTTATTCATTTGAAGCCCAAACTTGGCAACAGATCCACAATTCCATGCCACAATCAAAGCCCTTAAAAATGAAACATGCTGAAATATGATTATTAGCCACCCTCCTCTGAGCATTTGCTAGACTACCTCGTGCTCAGGGTAAGGCAGGAACTTGCCACGTTTGCTCTGCCTCACACACAGGGATCCAAGACAAACTAGAGAGCAAAACACCAGGCAAAAGTGTTGACAGAAATCCTTCCTGGGAAAGCAGAGTCTTCACCAGCCTGCAGCATCTTTCCCAGTGCTCCCAAGAGTGCTTGAACCCAAGCACAGTCTCTGGCACCAGCTCTGCCATGGTGAGCTGTGGCTTCAATGAATCAGACCTGTTTGCTGCCAGGAAAAGCAAACCCCTCTCCTCCAAGGAAAACACCCAGAGTCCTGCAGGCACCTCTGGCTGCACTGAGCAGAGGAAGAAGCCTTCTGCCCACAGAGCTGCTGGGCCTTGGGCTGTGGCCCAGCTCCAGGCTTGCTCATTAAGCAGGATGAGCCAAGAGGTCAAATCAATTTTTATGTTCCAGCTAAAATACTTCTCCAGCATAACACCTGGCTGACTGTCAGTGCTGCCTGATCCCAACCACGTTTAACCTGACAGGAAGAAGGAGAAAAGAAATACTTGTCTTGATGTGCCAGAATGGCATCCAAATAGAGAACAGGCTTGGGGGAGGGTTCCCTCACTGCTCAGGAGCCAAGGAACCCCCGGGTTAGTAACAGCCACAGGACTCTTCACAAGGACCCCCAGAAGAGTGCCCACACCCAGCTCCAGAAGTGCCCTGGGCACTGGCATGGAAGAGGTCACATCCCTGGAAGCTGGCAGCACAGGACACCCACAGGCAAGGTGCTGCACAGCAGGAAACTGAGGCACAGGAGGTCTAAGGGGCACTTTCAGGATTGCAGCAAAGACCTGGAGATCTGTACCCCCAGCATCTAAAGCCCATATTAACTGTCCAGCCCCTGGGCTGCTCTTCCCAAGAAGCCCAGCTGCCATGGCTGCCTCTGCCTAACCTCTGCTCAGCTCCAAGCTGCTCTCACCCTCTGACCAAGCACTTGCATCAAGATGCACCCACCATGCCTAGTCACAACTGGTGCCTCCTTTTCCTTTCCTTTTTTTTTTTTTGTTTCCCCCAAAAGCCTAATGTAAATCCCCAACAGCATCCTTCCAGCCTCTTCCATGTGACTCTGCTTCATCATCCACCCTGGACCCTGATGCCACCTCTCAGCTGGAGCACCCAGGTCCCAGCTGGATGGCAGAGGACAACCTTTATGTGCTGACCCTCTGCACAGTTGGCTTTAAGCACCCAGGGGCTGTCTCCTCCCATCCATGCAGCACCAAGCACATTGCCAACATCCCCAAGCAGCGACAGCACAGCCACCTCCCTACAGAGATACAGGGCTAGGTGGGTGAACACTGTCATTATAACAAATGCAGAAGCTAGAAGGCTTCTGTCACACAGGGAGATTAATGCCCTGAGATCCTGCTATAGCCAAAGAGAACAGAGTGTATTCCAGCAAAGCACAGGATACTTCCCACAACCAGGCCTCTTGTGACTTGTCCAGCAGCAGAGAAAGACCAAGGTAAACTCTCACGTTCATCTCAGACACAGAGCTGTTAGAGCATCACCCTAACACAAGGGCAGCTCTGAAGACTTAGTCATTCATTTAAAGAGATGCCTTGAAACAATTGACTTGAAAGCAGCCTACTACTGCTTGCAACGTGCTGCAGAGACTAGAAATAATTTTATATCACCTTTCATCTTCCTTTCAGCAGCTCTGGCCATGGCCCATGTGCCCCAGGCAGGAGGGGAGGCAGCACCCTTGAGCCTGGCTGCCCTGAGGTGAGTTTCTCCTCTTGCTGGAGCCTCTTGCTGCTGCAAGACCAGAAGCAGCTCTGCTCCAGCCAGCACCATCCCATCCCCATGAAATGGTCAGCAAAGCTCTGCCTGCTCCAACATCCCTCCCCCAGCCCATCCCCATCCCAGAGCACAATGCCAGGTCTTTGGGAACCCTGCCTGCTCCCAGCTCAGCATCCCCAGGGGCTGGGGCATCACCAGGGCAGCCTCACAGCTTGCCCAAATCCCTCACACCAAATCCCACTGCTGATGACTTCAAACAGGACTGATCAAAGGCAGCAGGAGCTGGTTTGGCAGGGGAAGGAGCATCTAAATGCTCCACAGCACTTCCTCACCAGTAAGGCTTCCACAGTAGTGGAGAGTTCCTGGGAAATCTATGCTGGCCCCTGCAGAGAGAGAGCCAGCAGCCCCCAAGGAAGGGAAGCTGTGCAGCTTCTACCTGGATTGCTTGATCACAGTCTGCACCAAGGATGAGATCTAGGTCTGGAATCCCAAAACAACAAAGACAGTTAAGTATAAATTTGGTTTTCACACAGCCTCATGAACAGGCAAGTGTCTGCCTCTGGTCAAGGGGTGGCAAATCTTGGGTTTCGGGAGACTTACAGGCTGCAAATTAGA